CCTTCACTTGAATACTAAATATTGTCTATCTTGCAAAGAACAAAATCGTAAGAGGAGCACAACAGATGCAGTTTTGTGATAGGTACCATGATCAGACCACACTATTTGACCTCCTCATGCACGTGAAAATAAGCCGAACATTCATTAAGTCTTCGTATCGAAGGAACAAGGTTCAAGAAGTTTTAGTACTTTAATATCAACTTTGAGGTTGCCCGGATTAATTTTAATTATCGGGCGCATTCTACTGTGAGTTGAGTGAAGGAGCACCCCCTCGATATGAGTATCACTACAAAAATAGTGCGAACCTATAAACTCCAAAATCACTTAAATTTAGATTTTTATCTGCAATGGAAACTCAAATCTAAATCACTTTTCTTTCCATTGTTTTTAGATTTACCTATGATTTCTTCTTATCTTCGTATTTTCCCGCTTAGTCTGCAGTGTGAGTTAACTGTCTCCAGTATTCTCATTCAAGGCATAGTGTTCATCTATCCTAAGCTCATATAAGTCGGCTCTGAGTCTTTCAACCACCTCACTTTGGCCTCCCTCGCGTTATTCTTCCAGCGACATACAGAGACATTGCCACTCTTGTGATGTGGGTCTCATCTCATATACTCAAATGCTCGTAACACCGCAATCGTTTCTCATGTATTTTCTTGGTGGTGGGAGCAACTGTCATCCTACCCCGAACTACGTCATTACAGACATAATCTAGCAAGATGATACCCAATGTTCGCCGCAGAATCCTTGTCTCCATGACTGAGCTTGTGTTCTTTTTCTTCTTTGAACTCTGCCAACATTCACCGCCATACAGCACTTGAGGCACAATACGACATATTTGGGATTTGAGTTGCCCTGGCATTTGCTTGTCTCGTAGAACACCTGTAAAGGTTCTCCATTTTATCCAGGTTGCGTTTGTTCTGGCGAACGCGACTTCCTAGGTACTTAAAATACTCGCTTTCTTGATTGGCTCATCATCGATGTCTATGGTTTCTGAAGTTTGAACTTCCATTTCCATATACTCTCCCTTGTTCGTGTTGAGCTTCAAACCGTATGAGCCTAATTGGTCCTTCCATTTCTGTACTTCTTTTTCAAATTCCTTTCTGTTTTTTGCAATCAACACAACATCATCTGCATGCAGGAGAGCCCATAGCCGCTTGATACCTTCTGTCGCTGCGTCCTGACTTGATGAAGAGTAGAGGAAAGAGCACAGATTCCTGATGTACATCACTCTTTATGCGGACTGGTGCAGACTGCCGTGCCGCAGTTTGCACATGGTTTATGGCGTCGTAATAGATTCCATTGAAAGTATAATTCTGGAAGCATGAACCAGCCGCTTTCGCAATGCCCATGACATCATGGGGTACCCTGTCAAAAGCTTTCTCCATATCAAGGAAAGCGACATGTAACTCTCTTCGTTGTTCTCTATACTTTCCATCACCATCCGCATAGTATGGATGGCGTAAGCAATACCGACACTTTTTACATACTCGCACTATTTGGACGACAACTCTATAATCGCTCGATAGTGTTTCAAATACTCTTTCAAAGATCTTTTGAGTCTGGCTCATCACCCGGTTTGGCCGATATGTTGAAAAGCCTGCGATATCGCCTTTATTCTTCCACATCGGAATCGTTGTGCTTTTTGAGCAGTCATGGGATATGCTCTTAGCTTTGATGACTTGATAAGGTGTGCGAGCCAAGAGGCACCGAGCCGTCCACATTCTTTCCAAAATTTGCTTAGTACATCATCTAGAACGGTAGTCTTGTCGTTCTTACTCCCCTCGATTTTTATCTGTTAATACCAG